CCCCCCTCCTCTCCCCGCACCCCCGCTGCATTTACATGTAGTTTGTCCCTCCCCGCCCCGGCCACTGCCTGGCCGCCTGTTTTAAATGTCAAATGACGCCCCCCATGCGCATCGCGTTAGATGGGCTGGGCAGGCAGGGCTTCGCTTGCTCACCGCGCCGGCTCGGGTCGGGCAGCTGCTCATCGGCTAGAGACCGGTAAGTCATCCAGAGCTCCGCTTTGTTTTCCTTTTTGAAAAGAGATTTTATGTTATATATTACTGAATTATATATTGAATATTTCTTAACCACTCTATTTCCATTTGTTTCCTTTGTCGTCAGGATATGATTTCAAACCCTTCAAGAGGCAAATTTTGCGGCCAGGCATTAACCACAACAGTTTCCCTCTTCACCGACGAACCCTTTCTATTTGCATAACCCCGGCATTACCCAGCACATTATTACTTGGCGTCAAACCACAAAAGTCAACCGCAACCATTAGAATCATACTAGCCGAAGATTACCTTCAAATGCTTTAACGGATCCAGATAACCCCTCAACCATGCCGCAATCCTTTCTTTGCATCCTTTCAACAGAGCGAAGTGTGTAACCCTTTCATCTGCCCCCTTTTCATGCGCACTCTCTCTCTCTTTCCTTCTCTTTCTCTCGTTGCAAATATATAAAGATTGCTTCCAGTGGCAGGTCCTACCCCCTTTCTGCAGTGCCGTTGTTTTGATAGATCCATCAATGTTGGCCGCGAGGAAATGTTTTGACAAATGACCTTTTACTTTGCGTTTTTCCAAACGCTCGGCTCTGTCGGGAGCATTCCAAGATGGATTAGGCTGGGGCTTCCGAGGAACGGGCGGGGCGCGGAGCGCGAGGCGTAGGCAGGGCGGCGCGGGGCGGCGCGGGGCGGCGCTGTGACAGCCGCTGATTGATGTCCTTGGCTTTTTAATTACATTAAAACGAGATTTGGCTACTTTCTCTTGCCCATGCCGACGGAGAAAAACTTCCTTCCTGGCCCCGTTTTTTTTTTCGTCTGATTTTACGGTGCTCAATTTTCACCTTCAACAGACACAGTATGCGAGAGTAAAACACGGCACACTCCATGGTTAATTTCTAGCGCAGAGAGAATCATGAATTTTAAAATGGTTTTATGAATAAAGCTAACAGCGAACAAGCCTCCGCTGCGAGGTAGGCCGCGCGCCGGCGCACAGCAACGCCACAGGCCGGCCTACGCGTGGGGTGGTAGGCGCCAGCTCCACGGTGAAGTGGGCACAAAACCCGAACCCGAAACCCGAACTGGAGTTAGATCGCCTCCACCTCGGCCTCCCTCCACCAACGCTTGCCCCCCGGCGAGGTGGGCCGCCCGACGCGCACAGCCACACCACGGGCCGGCCTACGCATGGGGTGGTAGGCGCCACGGTGAAGTGGGCACAAGGTTCGGGCTGGGGCTGGAGCTGGGCCGGCCTCCACCACCGCTTGCCCCCCGGCGAGGTAGGCTACGCGCCGCGCACGGCCACGCCACGGGACGGCCTACGCGTGGGGTGGTAGGCGCCAGCTCCACGGTGAAGTGGGCACAAGCAAGACCTGGATCGCCTCCACCACCGTACCGTGTGCCCCCCGGCGAGGTAGGCCGCGCGCTGCGCACAGCCACGCCACGGGACGGCCTACGCGTAGGGCGGTAGGCTGTCGTGCCAGGGAGCACGGCCAGGCCAGCCTGTAGCACCGCCACGGTGCGTCACCGGACGAGTTGAATCACACAAAAAGAGGGAGGCTAGTAAAGGGGATGGAGAGGGCGAGCGAGAGGGGGGCGAAGGAAGAGAGAGGGCTATATAGGTGAGAGGAATCGACGGCCTGAGAGAGAGAAAGAGAGCGGGGAGGAAAGATATGGAAAGAGGTGAGGGAGGTGGCGTCCCCTGCCCGCCAAACCCTCCCTCCGCTCGCAGCGCTCTGCGCTCCCAAGCTTGGTCGCCATTTTGATACGTGCCTCCCCCTTCGCCGCGCCACCCCGAGCCGCGCCGCGCCGCGCCGCGCCGCGCTCCCCTTCCGTTGCTGGGGGCCGCGGCCCGGCCGGGCTGTGCCGTGCGGCTCCACGCTGCCGGCCCGGAGGGGTGGGGCGCGCGCTCCCCGCCATTGGGTGCGCCTGCCGCAGGACGCGGACGCGCCGCCATACGGACAACTACTCCTGCGGTGTTGTCTCTTGCACGTGCACGTCCTCTGCTTCCTCTTTCACTCATTTATATGTGTCTCTCTCACACACGCACCCACTCGCGGTCTCGACCTCTCTGGCTTTCCTCCATATCACTCTATCCTTCCCCTACATGCACTGCAGTAGTGTTTCATGCGAAAAAAAGGTGCAAAGTCGTGCCTTTCTCTGGGCCACTATAACCAAACTCCGAGTTATTAGTGCCCATGCAAAGGCACAAAAGGACCCTCAAGGTGCTGAAAATGAGTGAATTTGGCAGTTTTAGTGTATCCCCCGCCCCCCTTCGCACACACAACACACATACACACACACGCTTACAGACGAACTTACTACACACCTATACAGACTGTACGGCTGAAGTACCAGGTGGCTAACTCACGAAGCGCACTTTCGTATTTAAACTGTACCGCATGCGTGGGGGCCGGGCGGTGGCGGGAGGGGGCAGGTTTGCCCATCCTCGCTGCTCACGGCTCCTCAAGGCTCCTTATGGCCCCGTGCGAGTAGGCAACCCGCCCTCACGCGTGCATGCGGTACAGTATAACTACGAAAATGGGGCGTCAGGTAGCCACCTATGGTATGCTTTCATTGACGATAGAGACGGTTGATGATTTAAACAAAATTGAAAAAAAAAAACATCCCAAATGTGTAGCGCAGTTTTCGAGGAGAAATGAAAAATTCTAGTCTGGGAGAGCATTTTCGCGGACAGGGCTACGCGCGGAAGGTAATTTATTGCAAGTCGTGTTCGCACACACACATACACACACACACACACATGCCGTAGATATATCGACGCCTGAGATGTAACCATCCCTCCCCTGGCCTGCCGGCCACAATGTATCGCCTCGTCCATTATGTCGCTCACCCCGCCGCGTCCCTCTTTTGTCATCGATTCGGCCACTTTTCGATAATAATATCACATCTTGACGCGCGCGGGGCGCGGGGCGCGGGCCGGCGATGCATGGCGGGGGAGCGCGCTTCGATACCGCCAACAACCCTTCCCTGCTCGCCGCCCGCGGCTGTGCGCACGCACTATGAAAAAAAGAATAGGAAAAAAAGCACTTTGAAAAAGAACTTTGTAGTCCTTTGCATTGCACTAAATCCGTGCGAATCCCCAGGGTGGTCGTCGATTCCACTGGCCTCTCCGTGACGCTGGCGAGGAAGCCTACTGCGGGGGGAGGGGGGGGGCAACATCCGGGAATTGCCTACTCGCCGCTCTGCGCGGACTCGAGCAGCTAGAAAGTGAGGGTGAAAGGTTAAAACGACGCGAACGCGGTCGACTTGGCCTGGTTAGTGTTTCCTTCTCAAAAACCTACCCGCGC